ATCATTCCTAATAAGTTGGTGTCTGACGAAATTTCTACACGGATTCGAAAAGCTCGTCTGACTTTCGCCGATTCGCGTCACCTATGGCGAAGGCGAGATATCCGTCTATCAATTCAGGGACGAGTATACTGCGCAGCAGTTCATTCTGTTCTACTTTACGGATGAAAAACATTACCATTAAGAGTACAAGATATTCGTAAGTTACTAGTATTTGATCACAGATATCCTAGAAATATTGACAGCATCTGCTGGGATCATCAGGTAGGCAATAGTGAGGTTAGACACAGGGTATTAGGGAATGGTCGTAAATCAGTTGATGAGGTTGTAAATCTTCATCGACTGAGATGGTTGGGCCACGTGTTACACATGCCTGAACACCGATTACCACGACGCACAATGCTCACTAGCGTTGGAGACGGTTGGAAGGAAGTTAGGGGTGGCCAAACCAGAACGTGGCATCAGTACACAAAGTCACTAACTTATGGTCTCAGCCATGTTGGTAGATGCAGACTACTTCGTTGGGATCCACGTGACTATTGTAACCAATGCATGGAGACTCTGGGTGACATTGCTCACAATCCATCGCAATGGTGACGGTCTATACACTATTTATCTTCCCTTAAACCGTGAGATTAAAATTACTCTACACCTTTCTTCCTACAAACTAATTCTTTCTCCCTGTAGCATATCCTTATATGAAATCTTTTTTACTATCATGGCAGTAACTATTTCTATGAATTCGGTGTTCATCTTGTTGTACTAATGAGGTGTGGCAACTTGGATCGAGCATATATATGTGCCTGGTCGTACGTTGTAGCTGACTGACTGACTAAAGGTCACAAATATTTTAATATGTATGTGAAAGATAATGAGACTAACTAGCTTTTCAAACAGATATATGATTTGAACTTGTAACTTGTAAGTTCTTTAACCGTATAATAACTCATCACTCTATTCTGAATCACACTTTATGCTTATTTGTAATGTTTGATAAATTGAATTATTAAATAGTGTACTTGACATCTCTCATGTTGTTATTTAGCTTTTCAGACATAATGAAATGAATAACGTGTACAAAACTTTTATCTATATTTGTGCGTATGTATAAACGTGCTTAGATTTGTATTTATAATATTGCGTGTAAACGTATATGCGCTACTACCATAGAATTGAAATTTATAAATAAATCAAGGTATAATTACACATACAATTCATATGGAAAATTTCTGTTGATTAACTGTTAAAAAAGGAGGAAGAACAAATAAATTTTCTCAGCAGGGAAAAAGTGAACAGTGTAAAAATGAATGCTACTTTTCCCTTTCTCTCCCTCTCACTAGTTCAAGTAAACTGTCAGACTATACAATTAAAAAGTATAATAAATCAAGAGTTCAGAATCATCACTATTAACATTCTGTCTTACTTCATGCAATTATGTAATAGACAGGTGGTAATAATAGGTAGTAAATATGTAGAATAAAAAATTGTACTTAATTTAAAGGGTGAAAGTATAATGTAGTGACGACCTTTAGTGACCCTAGAATGACCTTAGCAAAAAAAGCCAGCTCCTAACCAAAAAAAGTTGGGGTTAAAATTTGGAGTTAACAGATACTGTTAATGTTAGGACTATAGTGAAATTAGATGGTGGTTAGAGGTAGACGACAGGAAACCCTGGACCCGGGTTTCGTGTTACTTGTCACTCGTCAGCAAGGTGTACCTGTAATATTGGGGGAACTGATGCTCCCTGACGGATCCGATCCCGTGTCACCCAGCTTCACAGTCAGAGACGTTACCACTGAGCTATCCGGGCCGCAACCGACCTCCTGTAGGACTGAGATGTAATCACAATTGATTGGTCACTGGGTGGTGATCAATGTCATGTTAAGATTGCTGGTACACCTTGCCGACGAGTGCCAAGTAGCACGAAACCCTGGTCTAGGGTTTCCTGTAGACTACCTCCAACCACCATCTAATCTCAACATAGTGCACGCAATGTCGACTCATCTAAACTGGTGGCCACATTGCAACATGGTCGATAGCATTCGGTCTGCACTAATAAGGACTTGACACATATGATATTGATCACCACCCAGTGATCAATCAGTTGTGACTGTAGTGAAAGAATGCTTTGTTCCCATAAGAATGAATATTCATGAAATCAGTTCTTTAACTTGGAATATTAGGAATCGTCAAATTGCCTTGAAAAAAATTAAATTTCATTATTTTCTTCAACCTTCCAACGTTCATTAATCGTTCATGCGCCTTGGTCAGGAAATAACGATAGGTTTTACTTAGTTCTTAATGAGATACAAGTTATTCGTTGTCGCGTTTTGAACTTCGCACCTATTTTAAATCTGACTGATTTGTCGGCAAAGTATACTTTACCATTTAAATATAACTAGTGGGAAATAGTGGACTTATGGTTTTAAAGATAAACGATTTTCGAATAAACAAATCATGGTGTCGAATCGAATTCACCTACCTACAATTACAGTCAGTCAGTTAGCCAGTTGAAACGTAGAACCTGGTACGTATTTACATCAGTTCAAGTACCATACCCCATTAGCACAGAGAGATATTGGTGGTGATAGGAAAGTTTAGGCATCGAAGATACGGTTCGAACAGGGAATATAAATTATTGAAATAAGAGAAATTTAGATAGTCGATTAGTGTTCTATTAATCGTTAGACTGACATAATCTGGGGGGAAAACTAGTAGCTGGTACGAGAAACAATAAGATTCGCACGTTGCAAAAAAGAAGACAAGTACTGTTGACATAAGTAGATTTATTTTACCCAGCGAAGAACCGGAGATAGCTTCAACCAAGTATATTTATTTATATATTGATTTTACAAACATTTGATGACTGGCTGGTGAATGTACGCTACATATATATAAGCAAAATAGATGAAGCATAAAAACAGATTTTACACAGAATTAATACAAAAAATGTATGCCGCATGTTATATTGAAATAGAACGAAGGGTACGCTGAACAGTTATCCCAGTTGAATTAGAAGAATTACGAAATTAATATTGAACAGGAATCGTGCAATATTTTAATGTAGTCTTGAATACACTTTTTTTTATCCCATTCTAACGGACACAATTTAGATATTACCATTTTTGTAAACTTTAGATGAAATTCATATACTTGATAAATGAACTATACATTATTTGATATGATTATTATTGACTAGGAGGCAAACAACAGAATGAATTCAAACTATCAAAAGGGATCAACATAAAGCCATCAAGCAAAGTTTCATTTTTATACTAGTTATAATAAACATAGCGAAGCGTACAATATGGCTGAATAATAAATATACCAATATTATCTAGCATGGCATAAAAACAAAAGAATATGAATGAAGTTTTACTCTTGTGAATTATTAATTTGCTGCTTCAAAGTTTATTGATAAAATTATTTCTTTTTAGTTAAAAAATATCAAGTTTTATTCAGTGTAAAAGAGATATTCTTTTAATTAACTAAACCCATCCATCAACTCTCATAGCCATTTCAATAAAATAACATATTATTGATTGAATAACATTCAGAAATCATTAACATGAGAAGATAATTGCCGTAATATTGTGAATTACTTGAAGTTAGAAATGTAAACCATTGGATGTCGGGGTCAGTGGTCCAACGATTAGGTGCTCTCCACAAGACTTGAAGGTGCTAGTTTCAAGCCCTAGTGGGATGGTGGATTCGAGCTGTTAAAAAGGTTCCTACTAGCACAAAATAGCCGTACAACGCTTTTTGATTTTTAATAGTTGTCTAACTAAGATCAGTCAGGTGATGACAACTATAGAATGAATATAATACTGAATAATTTAAGAAAATTCTACAATCAATAAAACTCAGAATATATTTTAAAAACATTGACTTAATTCAAGTGAAAAATGCTTAGATATTGACACAGTAAAAAAAAAAAAAAAAACCGCATGGTTATCACCACCAATGAAAGTAGACCATCGTCAAACTGATTGAATAGTTTGTAATTACTATACAAATACATGTGGTTGATACAGAGTGGTTCAATCTAAAGAGGATAGATTTCATAACCACAGACTGGCATACTTAAGAGTAGAGGGAAAATAATATTGGTTTTTGCTTCATTCTAACCTTCGACAATCAAACAGTGCATAGCCTGAACACTACAGTTAGGGTTTATAACAGCGACGCATTAATGATATTAAATAATGATGACACTATAAAGGGAGAGAGTGACTGAATGTCCTGGTGATACCGTGCACAACATGGGACTTAAATATTCTAGGATTGGTTTCATGAAAAGGTTCACGTGGATGGGTATACATTGCCGATTAGGAGCTTAAAGTAAAGATGAAACAACCATATATCATCAGTACTTGTTTAGTTTACAACAATTCTTCAGCTTATTTTAATTAGTGATAAAAAATATTCTTAATTATTTCAGTGATTTTTTCTTGGATGATGGAATAACGGACTTTTGTTATGGTCATCTGAATAAAATTTAAACTGGTACAAGTAACACTACATTATCTCTAGTGAATGAGATCAACACTAGACGGCAGTTCAATCTCCTCCACCGATTACGACTTAAGTAACAGAATATAATTACATGTTTTTACCCGAAAAGTGTGGATTAGAGTCAAGTACACGAATTCGTACCCCGGTGAATGAGTTAATAATAATAATATCAGTCGAATTCACCTAAAACAACATTCATACACTTCATATGAATGAAATTATTCTGATCCAATCGGAAATAAACCATATTTTTCTATTCCTCAAGCTGACAGGAGGGGTATTGGTACTTTTAACTACTATAACAATAACAACTAATTACAGTGCTTGTTAGTAGTATACACACAAAACAATATGAGCTAAATTATACCGTATAAGAATGTATATGTACCGAATAAAATCATAACAATTATTTTAGTAACACTATCTATGTCTAATGATGTGATAATTACCAATACAAATAATAAATAAATAAATAATAATTCACTTACTTGACCCAATAAATCCAGTTTGGCGTAAGACTCGAGTTTTCCAAAACCAATTTCCGACTAATTAATCAAAGTAATAATAATAATAATAATAGTAATAATAATAACAATAAACACAACAGTACAAAAACTTCAGTATCAAAAATGATCGGAAACAAAGAGAGAGTATATGTGTGTGAGTGGAAGAACAGAACAAAAGATTAATGTAAACTCATAAATCTGGAAACATACCACACATACAAACACTATAGATACAGAGAGTAAACATAATACCCTGAAAGTTGAATTATCTTCTGAATGTTATTATTAAGAAAACAAAAAAGATTGACACAAAAAATTAATTAAAAGTGTAAAGAACTAAATAATCATAAAAATAACAACACAATAACTGCATGAATGACGTGCAAAAAATACATGAGATTTATACACCACAGAAATTCTATCCTAGATGGTTACAAGTTCAATGGATAAACAGAGATACAAGCTAGGAATGAATGAGTAAATGTATGAGTTACTCTTTTGGAATTATAACTTATTCAATAGTAGTAACGCATATATCAAGTGTATGTATTCCGCTGCAAGCCACACGGTTCGTATGGTAAGATTCAAACTTTCACCTGAATCATTGAAAGCCATGTGTATTAACCAACAAATCAGTGATCAACTGACTATATCTGGGATTGGTTTTTAAAAGCAATGAGGAAAAGATTTAACATTACCAGTCAGAGTAGGGTACATAAAAGAATAAAGATCGATATGTATTTTCTTAACCTATTGTCTGACAATCAATAGTTTTGTTAAAAAAATAAACCAGATTATTAAGAGATTTATTTTGATCATACTACTATTATTCAATTTAACTGTTATGTAAATATATTAGGGATTATTTAAAAGTAATTAAAACATTATCTAAACTGTTTCAGTCGATAAAAATTTATCATTTTGAAAGATCTGTTTTTTCGCTGATAAACATTATGATTTAAGTTAATAAAAATCATTCACCAAAAACATAGGTTTACGTAAATCGGCTTTGAGTAGGGTGTTTAGTGTGCGTGGGAGAGAGAGGGAGAGAGAAAGAAGGTAGTAATATTAACTGTCTAAACTGAAATAACCGGAGAGACGTTCAAACACGAGGAACTACTGATGTTTAAGGTTAAATTTCAACCGCCAGGTCAAATGTTCGAACTTCGTGCTTTACTTACTTCAGTTTAAGCAATTGAACAGCATCAATAATCCTAATATGCACGTCGAAAGTGGTTACCCAAAGCCAATTTACTCGTACATTGGCTTGAAGTCAAATACACGAATATATATATATATATATATATATATATATATATATATATATATATATATATATATATATATATATGGTTGAATATTCTTCATATAACAAACAAAATTTAAAACATGCACCATTTGCGTGACAGCTTTTTATCGATTCTCGAATAGTTTATCTGTGAGTATAGTAACTTATCTTTTTGAGAAAGATTTTAAAGAAACCAAACTTATTATCTTGAAACACTAAATCACAAGATAAGCAATTAAAGATAATCACTGTTGAATTTCATGATGCATCAATATAAAAACCTACAAAGTTTATTGTTACAAACAGGTGTAGAGAATAACAATCACACAAAATGTAATAGTCACTTATAAACGTAGAGTATGGTACAGACAAGCGATAGCCCAAGTTTTCATATCATATCAGCACGGCAACAAGATTAAATTAACGGGATGAATAGCAAAAAGATGGGAGTAATGTAGTGTCAATGATAATGTAAATGATTGAAAATTTAGAACATAGTTTAAGAGGACAGAGCGGAAAAGTATTTATGCAGGAATACTAAAATACAAGATTGAAAGAAAGATAAAATAAATACACCTCTGCAATAAGGAACGATTATGAGCTATGATGTCACTAAAAGTTTTCGAACACTGGTTATTGTTAACGCGCGGATACCAACCAGTTAGTCTGGATCAACCAATATTATACCAATGAACATAATGAGTGTTAAATTTTCATTTGAATGGAATTCGGAAACTTTAACTGACATGAAATATTCATAGTTTAAACCATGAAATGGTCTTCGCTAGACCACTACTGAAAACTAGGAAGCACTGGACGTCCGTTTCATCCTAATATAGAACTTTTCAGCATTGTGCACCCACAACAATTTAATAATTATTCATCCTTTTATGTTATGGAATATTTTAAATAGCTGATAGATATGGAACAAAATACGATTATCGACTGACAGCTACTAGCTAATACACCATAGATGTACGTGCACAGACTATAACATACACAATTTATGCACGTGATTCGCTACATGATTTTTGAACAAAGGAAGAGAACAACAACAAAAAGTGCAAAATATGGTGAATTCACGTTAATAGAATAAATGAGTTTTGCAAGATGAAAATGGACTTTTTCATAAAAAAATTTACTTCTTATTTGTATACATTTGGAGAGATGGTGGAATAGAATTATACTTCTGGTTTTCATTAATCATGCTACATTACTACCTCAACAACAATCCTATTGGGTAGTTTGTCCGAATGCTTTGCATTAATTTGCAAAGCATTTCGTTTAATGTTTCCCACTTTAATTTCAGTTACGTTAAAAAAAAGGTGTATAAGTGTCGTATTTGTCAAATGTAGTATACTGATATTTATATGGCTCATTAAAATGTAGCAAGCTACTGGAGAAAAGGGAAGCAATTTGTTGTTATCCAAATCCTCAAAAGTTTTTCGATCACTTTTACCGTCGATTATCATACTATACCAACTGATCACTATCAAAAGTTTTTATTATGATATGTAAAGTAAAGCTAAACAGACACAAAGAAAAACACCTATAGTACTAGGAAATGGAGTAAAATTTTAAATGACTGCTTTTTGAAAAGAATTATTTAAAGTACGTTAAAATATATGTATCAAACTCGTAAGCATGAACGAAATTAAACGTGTAAATCAATAATGAACATTTTAGAAATTGAAAGGTCATTTATGTTAGTTAAAATAGACTGCGCAGCACTTCATTCTGTTCTACTTTACGGATGAAAAACATTACCATTAAGAGTACAAGATATTCGTAAGTTACTAGTATTTGATCACAGATATCCTAGAAATATTGACAGCATCTGCTGGGATCATCAGGTAGGCAATAGTGAGGTTAGACACAGGGTATTAGGGAATGGTCGTAAATCAGTTGATGAGGTTGTAAATCTTCATCGACTGAGATGGTTGGGCCACGTGTTACACATGCCTGAACACCGATTACCACGACGCACAATGCTCACTAGCGTTGGAGACGGTTGGAAGGAAGTTAGGGGTGGCCAAACCAGAACGTGGCATCAGTACACAAAGTCACTAACTTATGGTCTCAGCCATGTTGGTAGATGCAGACTACTTCGTTGGGATCCACGCGAATATTGTAACCAATGCATGGAGACTCTGGGTGATATTGCTCACAATCCATCACAATGGTGACGGTCTATACACTATTTACCTTCCTTAAACCGTGAGATTAAAATTACTCTACACCTTTCTTCCTACAAACTAATTCTTTCTCCCTGTAGCATATCCTTATATGAAATCTTTTTTACTATCATGGCAGTAACTATTTCTATGAATTCGGTGTTCATCTTGTTGTACTAATGAGGTGTGGCAACTTGGATCGAGCATATATATGTGCCTGGTCGTACGTTGTAGCTGACTAACTGACTGAGTTGGAATAGACATAGAGTATAAAGCAGTAAAACCACCTCAGTTAATCTTATGCAAACCAATGGATGAAATTACAAAGAAGAACAGTCAGACATTATCCACAAATTAAAGTGCTCCGACTGCGATAAAGTGGCTACTTTCTTCATCCTCACCAGGACGAACATCAACTAGTTGTTGAACACCACGATCAATCTTCACTTTTATCAGTTCACGCAGAGACAATTATGGACACATTTTCTATTGGGAAAACGTTGAAATCTTAGACAGAGAAAATACAAAGAAAATCAGAGGATTTTCAGAATCTTGGTGCTTAGATTAATCAGCGATTCAGAAACATAACAATATTGATTCAATTTATCAACTATTTAGAAAAAAAAACATGTAGAATCAGGTCAAAGAGTATAATGTTTGAGATAAAAATACAAACTATGACAGGACAAAGCTCATCAACAACCAATCAAAATCGAGGTCGATAAGACAAGCTGTTTCATAAGATCAACTGACTGACTGAAAAAGCTGTCAGGAAAATATGCAGAAATTCGAACAGCTCAACTTCTATTTCAAGTTTGTCGTGTCTAGATAGACAATGAAAAATTCACGATTAAACCATCCAACTCAGGGAACGCAACTCCACCGAAATCATCCTCCCAAGTTGCACATCACCAATTGAATAGATCGTATAGTGTTGTAAAACCGTAGGGTAATTGAAAGGGACGATTATGAATAAAGGATTTATTAATCCAACCAAGGTAATCGCCATCACCTCCAAATGTCCCCATAGCTGACAATCTGCATGATATGTGTGAGCTGTAAATACTATACGGTCAATATCATTTTATTCCTCTCTCTCTAGTGCTAATTGGTTAAGCGTTAAACATGTGTATAGTTACTAAAGCACATGACACAATCGATACCTAACGAAAAAGTATATTGTCCTCATTTTACGCTGATAGGTGGATTTGAACAGTAGTTGTTAATCTTTCTCTCTCTCTCTCTCTCTCTCTCTCTCTCTATATATATATATATATATATATATATATATATATATATATATATATATATATATATATATATATATATATATATATATATACCGTTTATAAGTTAATGATTGAAATTGAAACAGTTAACCACTAAACAATTGTAGCACTTAAAGAACATTTTTTGGAAGATAAAGAAAAACCATACCGAAAAACTAAACATGCTACTAAAATCCTACTTCAGTCAAATGTAATGTAGAGATTTAAATAGATGATGATGGTTAAAAACACAACACACCTAGGTGATCACATGTGATAAATAACCCTTCTTTTAAAAAAGTACGTTCTATTCATTACAATAATTAACATGATTACATGTTTTCAACAATACAGTATTGAAGGACCACAGATGTTGTAATATGTATACAATTACTGGGCTGATTAACAGAAAGATATGTGGGTGATGACCTTGGCCAGATTAATAAAACACTCATTCACAGTAAGCCCGCCCACACTTGCACTACTCACTTACTTTGTGTTCTTACAACAGCTGTTCGAACTTACACAGGTAATCAGTAGGACTTACTTTTTGCGAGCACATTTTAATACCGTTATAACAAATATAGAACTGACTAGTATTCCAAGTTTTAAATCCACTGAGTATTCATCGACCACCGAAAATCCATGTACACTGGTAGGTTATAGAATGATGCAATTTGTTAGTCATATTTATTTTGTCTTACAACTTAATTATTTAAGAAAACGTTCTCTAAAGTGTTGAGAAATGTGCTTAAATAAATGGATCTATGTACCTGGCTCCAAAGCAGCACATGAACATATATATACATATCATATTGGTCAGTCGAGATACGATTGTCCTTGACACAGATGTGTACCAGTGAGCACTCAGTGTACAGTATTCACAGGCCAACAATCACTGTGCATCTTGATATCAGTGATATGTACTCTTTAATTCGATCCCTTTTGATAATTTTATCTTGTTGCTCTAATCAGGTATGACAACTTGGGCCAACGTACATCTGTACCAGACTCCATGTTGATGTCTGTCGGTCTAGTGACTTGAGATATTATCGGAAATGGTTTAGAACAGAAATTGTAGCTTCATTTCTTCATAGAAGTGAGAGGAAATCCTTTAACTGAAATAAGTCCTTGTGAATTATATTTCTATCTGAACTGTACAGCCTACAATATCCCAATTCTAATCCACTAATCTACTCACTTATTTTTGATGGTACTTCTCTTCCCTTGTTTATTTCTCAACGAAATCATTTCATTTTTTTATGCATACCATTTGGTGGTCAGTTTCATCAGAATTTATGCGTAGATTCTTTGAACATTCTTGGTTGGGTCACAGCTTGCGCTGCATTATTAGCTAACTTCGGTACGTTAAGTTTCATTCGTCACGAATACTCACACTTCCCATTTTCTAATTGATCTTAGCATAGATATGATTATGTAAGTGACTATTTTATTGATTAACTTCACAAGGATTGATATCCCAGCTGGAGATAATTTTACTAACTTGGATAACACAAATGACATAATCCTGTTTGATCAAGATGTCAATGAAATCCAGTCTTTCGAACGTTGTGGAGTAAGAACAGATGAATATTTGAGATGGATTTCTTCGCTCCAATATGCAAAATATAGCTTTAAAACACATTCGTGTCAATAATTAACCTAAGTAAATGGAACTAATCAGTTCAATGTGTTGGTCACTCCACTTATTTGGAAATTCAGCTGTGTATGTTAATTTGAACCAATGTACAGTAATATGGTTTGTGGTAACGGCAATTACTCTAACAATACTTCGAATTCAGATGCAGTAGCTTCTTTCTCTCTTAGCCTCGATGACCTCAAAATATAAATCATGCAAAGATTTGTATGATAAAGATCCCAGAAGAATTCAAATTACATTCATGTTCATTCAATTAATTAACATAATGAAAAAATCAAATTCATACTCAATGAATACAAACATTAACTGAATAAAAATCATAATGAAAATTACTATACAATCTTTTACTGAATTTCTTCTTACTAAATTGTATTTAGGGATTTAACATTCTCGACGATACATTTGCACAGATCCTAATGATATTTATGACTGATTGATTAACCCATTGAAGATAGTATCATAATCAACAAATTGATTACTTACAGCCATATAATAAAAATAACGAATACACTTGTAAAAATAACAATTATCGTCCTGATTTAACAAAAAAATTTTTGTTTAAGTAAACAAGTAATAATTCAGATAACTGAACGATAAGAAATCGTTGAATGAAAATATGGACGACTATGCATTGAATAAGTTAACTACCATTTAGGAAGTTGGCTTATTTATCTATTAAAAGTTTGCACAGAATATATATCATAATCTAACCTTGATAAATGGATTCAGAGTGAAAGAAGTAACTAAAATTGGCTTATTCATATACAATAATCAGTCATTAGTCATACAGATAAACACTGTCGACTGTAAACATGCCCACACACACATGGAAATGAATCATTATCTGCTATTGATAAATTAAGTTAGATTGGAAAAACGAACCGACGGCAGTTAATAAGTCGAACTTTCAATTTTATAATGATGATGAGGTATTTTGAATATTAAATAACTGTCTATTTTTATTTCATTTACATTATCTACGGTTACAAATAGAATAATCTAGTTCCACAGTTGAATTCACGAGTCGATTTAAACTAAATCATCATTGAAAACCTGAAAGCAATATACGGCCGTTTTTGCACTGGTATGGGACTCTTCAGCAGTGTACATCCACAACCCTGCACGCCGGTCTTCAACCCAGGATCTTTGGTCTCGAGAACGGGACCGTGAAAGCACACTACTAACGAGTCCCATACTACAACGAAACGGTCGTCCAGTGCTTCCAGATTTTCAATGGTGGTCTAGCCTAGAACGACTCGTGAATTCAACAGTGAAAATATTACAATCTCCACAAATCCCCATACTCATAATTAATTTCGTTGTAACTTTGGTTGCATTAATCTACAACTGTTTCAACGATGATCATGTAAAAATACTGGTTAGTTGATTGGATTAAAAACTAGAATCGATTAGTCAACGGTTAATTGCAATGTACTTTAAAAGATTTATTCCATTTTGCTGACAGAGAATTATATTCATATCTCTGGTTAGTCAATGGTTTCGTTTGATGTATCATTCTAGTTTACAAAAATACCCCTTTTTGAAATTATAAACATAATTTGCCAGTGTTTTTGACTGCCTACCTTCATCAGTCAGTAACAAACTTTGAACAACTGTCCTTAAATGCACGTGCACGAAAGACGGTCAACTCAAGTTTGACGAAACTATATACAATCAAATCGGTGTACCCATTCTAAAGAAGTTTTATTAAGTTCTATTTCGGCAGATATCTTTCAATTCATACAAAATAGTTGTTCAATGTACAAAGCAGGTTTTCAAGGATTTTTTAAATTGCTATTAATTTATGAATACCAGTTACAATGAAGCATAAAGCATATAGGTTACAGTGCGTAGTAGGTGAAAACATGCATGATACATATCTTCATTTGTAGCTACAAATATTGATCAAAAAATTCAAAGCTAATGGTTTGGATTTTAATATGCTTCTTAATTTCACAGAGTGCAAAAACCTGTCCAGTGTAAACTGATTAAAAAGTAATTAGATGTATATTCGATTATCGTAGTATGATTTCGAAACTTAATCATATACAAGTTCTGTTTTTATAAATTTTTAACTACTAAAAATAGCCTTAAGAATATTAACAACGACACTTACTAATGAACATCGACGTTCACGTCTTGACATAGGTTCTTCTAAAAATTGTGTAGCTCTATGCCATAAATGCGGTGGGAGATTAATACTTGCTGGTAAAGATAAACGATTTGATATTGAATTGCCGACTTTATTATTAAATGATAATTCTTCATAAAATTCCCATTATCTGGTGTTTGCATTAAACCAAGTCGACGAAGTCTATTTCTAGCATCAATTGGTCGTCGACGAACCTCAGCTAAACCAGCGACTAGATCAGCAGTTGCTGTTCCAGTTTCATCAGATGCTTGTACAACAGCGGCTGCAAGATGTGGACCTAATTGAACTGGTAAATTCAAAGGATCTTTGATATGATTGTATGAATTCATAAGTTTTTGTTGATTAGAAGATTTTGTAGAAGTAGAATTTTTTAAATTCTCCTGTTCGGTAGTACATGATTGAAATGTTGTCAATGAATTGAATTCTTCACTTTCAATTTCTTCTTCTTTTATTGTAGTGCCAACTACAATACGTGACGTATTATAACCATCTACAGAACTCCAAGGTTTGTTAATACCATTCATTGTGAAAACTGGACTATGATTAGTTGCTGATGTCGTCATACGTGGTGACTGATGAATATGATCATTATTTATTTGCCTAAAACTATTATTATTATTGTTATTATTAGACAGTAATTGATGTTGTGAATGTTTACAATTGTTCGTAGTAGTCAATAATTTCACTGGATTATGATGATTTGTTGTCGCCGTTATTGAATTAATAATATCTGGTATACAATTATCATAAACAGGAGATTCATTAACTGACGGAGTAGAATTAATTTTACAATTTATATTACAAGTATTATTTAAATGATTACTAGTTTGATCACAGACATTGCAAGTTTCATTTTTATGAATACACACGTTATTATTATTATTATTATCATTACTATGATGAGTTTTATTGTTAGTAGTGATATTCAGTGATTGATTAATAGTAGCTAGTGGATGTGGATTGAATTTATTTTGTATTAGATGAGTTGTTAAAATTTTAGGACTAGACGACAATTGATGATGGTAAGAATTGTGGTTTTTCATTATTGATTTATTGTTACAATTGTCAATGTTATTATTATTGTTCAAGTATTTTTCTTCTTCTAGATCCTCTTCTGTTTTTGAATCTTTAGCGGAAGATGAAGCAGGTGATAGATAAGAGGTGGAAGAACCACCACGACCACCGTCACCACCTCCACTACCACAACCATCGAAACTACCAAGAAAACTCTCACTTCCAGGAGAGCTAGTATTATTATTATTACTAATGTCTAACTGAGAGGAATAAACAATGGAATCTTTATGGAAATTAGACTTATTAGACATTGTTGTGGTTATCGACGCCTTACATGCATCATCCGTTTTATTATTTTGACATTTTGAATTATTTGTATTATTATGCAAAGATGAATTCATTGTTTCTGAAGCCGTCTCATTATTATTATTATGATGATTAAAGGTTGAAGGATATTTTTTATTGTTAGATTTATCAAAATTTTTTGTATCACAACCATCCAATGTAACCGCATTATGCATAGATGATATTGTTGTTGTTTTAGTAAAATCAGATTCTGTAAAAGTATCACGTAACGATAAAGGCTCATTCGGATTTGCTTCTCGTTCTGTAACAAAAAAAGCATGCGAAAAAATGTAATTCACAAACCAAAAACAGAGTTTAAATGTATATAAGCGTTCGATTTAGAGTAATTACTACGATCTTAGGCGTTATCGAAGTGAAAAATGTGAAGATTGAATCTACGACCTACTGGTTGGAATATTTTGAACATTAAGATCTCAACACAATAAAATAGGCAATGCATTTAATTTAATAACTATGAACAAGACTCATTTCTAGTTTAGATATTTAAACGTTAGTTTATTTCTCGTGAATACGTTGATCGACACGATCCAAGTGAAGGAAAATGTCTGCAAAGAAAAACAACAGAACTCTTGATGTTAAATTTAAATAGAACGCATCTGAGAGAAGCAATTATATATAACGTGATTGTAGGTAGTCGAACTGAAGCCACTAGTGCAAGTGACTCAACATCGTTGCTGATGAAAGCTAGGTGGTGGGAAACCTAGGTTCATGATATGCTGTCGACTATCTCCAATTACTCAACATCTTAATATAGTGCATTGATGTCCAGTTACTTGGGCTAGTGTTTATGTTGCAAATTGATATTATTAATTAAATCAATACTAAAAAGGACTAGACAAACATAACATTAGTTACAATTCAATGACTGTAATTAACTGTATATATTTTAAAATTAAATTTTTTCAAACTAATTCATTTAACGATAAATAAAGAGCCTATTGAAATTATTAAACTTTTTGAAGAAGCAGTAATTAAAGCAACAAGAAGTTGACAACATTATCATCGAATCAAAGCAAAAGAAAAAAACTGAATACGATAACTTGTTAGTGATAAACGTAGCTATTTTTTAAACAGAAATGAAAAGTTAATTACACATATCAGTCAATGCCCGTAAACTTAAGTCTCCTCCCTACAGCGATCCCCACATAAAAAAATCATAAGTCATTCAGAAAAGAGAAAATATTGTTTTAACTAAAACACTTTAGGTTGTATATATATACCGTTATGTAACTTACACAAAAAGAACGCTTTTCGTCAGTCAATAACATAATAGTTATACAATCTCTACCCGACTTACCAAAGGAGAAGAACCGAGTTAACAATAATAATCATGAACGACATGTTAGGTTAAAATGTTTCATTTTATTTTATTTTCCTCAAGTGTTTAAAAAGTTTGGCAAATTAATAATTCCAATAATCATCTATCTATACATTACATGCATATTTGTCTATAAGGAAGCAAAATTTTTCTACTTTTCTTCAACATTCCATTCCCTAAATAATAATAATAATAAAGCTTATTACTATGAATAGCTTAGACAGAGGATGAAAAGGAGATACACGAACGGATGGACACACACAAATACACATGAATAATAATGATAATAACAGTAATCCAGACAAGACAGAAGAAGGAATACCAGCAGTTTTGCCAAGAGATAGTTAGGTTCTCTTGCTTGGTAAACGAAAATATCAAAAAAACCCTGCTATATCTGATTGGAAAAATTAATAAAATTAGAGGGTGGATTTATTCGCTCTAAACTATTAACTTTAAGTTGGTTTAGAAAAGAAAATAGATTTTTCAAAGAACATTCCTGTGGAGATTATAAACTAACGGAATTGATCATGTGTTTAATAATAGAACTATTAACTGATTTACAATCACCTTTATGCAATTGTACCAGGATATGTCTCAATATACTTCTGGAAAGAGAATCTTTACTGTGACCAACATAACATGCTTTAGCCACGGAAAACTGGTAGATATGAGGCTGTAGAGATCCTGAGGATTCGATTGTCGAAATCATTGAGAAAGATATTCTATTTACAGATGAACTATGAATTGTATTCTCTAGCAGATATCTAATCCAACGATGTGTCAAAGATGAACTACAGTTTTAGGCCACTTCAATGTATATCTACAAGTTTACTTGAACCTGAAAGGGAGTGTGGTATAATGGTTTTACACAGCCTGTTTTTTCCCAAACGCGTGTCTAAACACTACCCAGAATAGTTTTCTATGAAGTGAATGCAAATCAGTTAATAAATATTAAGAGGGTCGCTGCTTGAATGCAATCGACAAGAAACCTTAAACCAGTTTTGTATTTTATGCTAGTTAGCAATTTTTTAGTAAGGCATATATGTATATATATACCCAATCTTGAAGAAATTGTTTCTATCAGGGAAATTCGAACTTGTTTCACTTAAACTACTGTTATACAACTCAAGCCAAATTAATCCATACGAGAGTTAACAGTAGTTTAGTATAAGGAACAAATCTCTCTGTTTTGATGGTAATCCCCACGATTCTAGTTCAATTTGGAAAACAGAAGTGTTGATAGACTCATTGATCTGAGATCCAAAAGAACAATTGTTGTTTCTGATTGATTGAATATTTTTACTCATGAGTAGATGCACTTATTAGTACCAGGAACAAAATATAGAGGAATCAAGAGTATGGGGTAGATTATTTAAAACCGACTTATTTCGATGCGTTATTCTGACTCTGAAGATCCAACACCATTAGGGAAGTTAGTTATCGATGTTAAATTAATTTATATTGCCATTACACTTAATCGTAGGACATCACTCTAGAATCTGGATTGTTAAATATATTTTCGCGCCACAACTAACCAGTAAATCTGCACACATGGTAAAACAGAGGAACTATAGGAAACAATATCTTTCAGGTTGAGTCGTTACAATTACCAATCATGAGAGTAAAGTATGAAAATAGCAGTTTTGATTCGAGTAAAAGATTTAAAACCTAAATATTATATTGAACATTTATCTACTTTAAAAGAATACTCATAAATTACGCGGCTTATTTGAATGATACAATAATTGTGCTCAGAATACACTTTGTTTTTAGTATTTATTCAGAAACTATATTAAATTTTACATGTAACAAATATATGCACATACATTCATTTAGGCTATTAAATTACTTTAAGCTAATCAATATACAAAATGATGAACTAATAAAATGGATCAATTGAGAATAGCTTCTTGTTTTAGTAAAAAAAATGTAACAACAGATTTCTTCTTTTACATTGTAATTTGACAAACACAACACACAGGAAACATAAACAATGATGTATGCAATTTAGGATAGTGGCAAGAAGCAGAATTCTAAATATATGTTATGTCCCTTTTAGGATTTGTCATCACCTGGTTATATTTAGAGCACACAGCTAGTGTTCAATAAGAAACTTGGATCCAATAAGCATATATATCACTTCAAAAGCTAGTTTATCCTCCTTAGGTTACTCTACTACGTCGTGGTAGCCACTGAAAACGTGTTCAACAAGTATGATATTTATTTCTAATCAATGACCAAAAGGAGGTTCAGATGCAGACGTAAAGGCGAGGATTGGCAAAGCAAGGGCCGCATTTCTACAATTGAACAACATATGTAACTCAAAACAACTGTCAACCGATATCAAAGTCACAATCTTCAATATGAACGTCAAGACAGTTCTACTGAACGGAGCTGAAACTTGGAGAACTACAACAACCACCATCAAGAAGGTACAAGTATTTATAAATAGCTGCCTACGCAAGATACTCAACATCCATTGGCCGGATACCATCAGCAACAGCCTTCTGTGGGACAGAACAAACCAGCTTCCAGATGAAGAGGAAATTAGGAAAAGACGATAGAAATGGATAGGACATACATTACGGAAATCACCAAACTGCATTACGAGGCAAGCCCTAACTTGGAATTCTGGAGGGAAGCGAAAAAGAGGAAGACCAAAGAACATATTACTTCGGTAAATAGAATCAGACATGAAAATAATGCATAATAACTGTAAAGGATTGCTCAGGTCAGGGTTGGATGGAGAATACTGGTGAGCGGCCTATGCTCCTTTAAGAGGAGTAACAGGCGTAAGTAAGTGCTATCCACATCTCCATTACCTAAATTTTGGGTAACAGTATAATTATGAGAACCGATTTGATTGTTAGTAATGATTATAAGAAAAACCACTTTGGAGTGAAATAAAACAAAATCTATTCTCAGGACAGTAAAAGTGCAATAAATAATATTTTAACTAGAGAATAAGAGAAAAAACTTAACTATTTTAACTGATTTTTAAAGATCAGACTTAAAAATAAGAGTAACTTGACTGCATGATGATTCCAGTGATAGACAAAATGTCAGTATGAATAAAAAGACCCCTATGACTGTTCCCAACTTAAGTCATATGTAGAACTGTTGCAATACCTGTCTGCCTATTAAAGGAAAGGTACTTTGAGCCCCAGTTCGCTCTATGTCACTCTACAGTTGCGAAACATGGCTTACGATAACAGAAGATATACATAAATTACAAGTACCTGAAGTTAGGTGCCCTTGAAGTACTGCTCCCGTATGAAATCATTGATTAATTATGGGCTTAGAGATGAAGTTAAATATGAAAGTGATAAGGCAGTTGAACAAGTCATGAACCTTTATTAGTCAAACTGATCAGAACACATATGTTACGTATACCGAATCGCTGATCAGTTCCACACACAAAATAATGACTAGTATATCAGTAGATTGAAAAATGCGGTATGATATGAAGTCATTTACTGACAGTTTGAGCCATGACATTACCAGGTGTAGATTTCATCGGTGGAGTTCATAAGATATTTGTAATCAATTATTATAGATAATAAATGAACTGGGAAAAAATCGATTACACTGATGCAGATCCATTCATTCCTTCATTTTTACCAAACTATATTCTTAACCATTTGTGATGGTTTGTATTACAGGCACTTGAATTAAATTTCATTGTGCATGAACATCAACCTTAGGATATGGTATGTCTTCAGCTAACAAGTTCAAAGTAGAAAGAAACACGAGCTCTGGATTCCATTGCTACCATAAATACAGCTTTACTAAATATACTCTCCATGTTTGCGTTTGTTTTGTAGCGCATAGTTTTCAGTGATTTTCTTTTTCTTTCCCTGTACTACTGATGCAAAGCATGTGTGTATGCGTGTGTATCAGGTACACTATGGTATTTATGACTA